AGACACCTGTGGTCCCTACTGAGAATAAGTGGCTTGACAACAGATTAATGATTCCTTATGCCAAAATACACAGCACCACCTGCTGGTGCAGCTGTAGACTGTGGAGATCACTTTAAGTCTGTGTGTGGTTTTCACACTGCTTTTACAGTAAACCTAATAAAAAAGTGGGAAAAAATGAACAGATACATGTCAGGGGCTATGTGCATTTTTATATTCCATCAAAATCGTAAAACATTTTAATCTAAGTCCCATTTGTGATTTTTAAATAAATCCATCCATTTTCTAACCTCTTTATCCATTGCTGGGTCACAGGGGAGCCGTCCAATCCAGCAAGTAACAGATGCGAGGAAGGATACACCCTAGACAGGATACCAGTCCATCACAGGGCAGGACACATTGATATAGACACTCACAGACTCACAGCAGGGCCAGTTATTTTCCAGAAGCCAATTAACCTACCAGCGTATGTTTGGACTATGAGAGGAAACTAGAGGAAGGGAGGGGAAACCCAAGCAAACACAGAGAGAACATGCAAACTCCACACAGACGGCACACCTGGAATTGAACCCAGGCCCCAGTGTTGTGCAGCAGCACTGCTAACCACTGAGGCACCATGCAGCAATGATTTATAAATGTGCCACTAAGTGTCTTAAGAGCCGAATTAAAACATCTTGCAGTGCAAATTCTGGTAGAATGCTTTGTCCTTTGTCCTATGGCCTGCATTGGCTCCATGAGGGCCAATCTGAAGGTTTCATGATGCAGCATGGCCTTCAATCATTATTTTGGAATAACGGTTTCCTGGGAATATCAAGAGACCTGAACCTACTTTGCGGCTACATCTGCTCAGTTAGGGGATTGAGCAGCAGGTCACACTTTTCAATGTAATGTTCAATGCTGGGTTTTACAAACCACAGCCGGGGAGAAGGCCATATTTCTTCCCTTTCCAGAATGTTTTAAATGTCAAGGAGTCGTCTGTAGGAAAAGGCATGTGTTGGGAAACAGCGCGCTGCTGCACACCACATAATGTGAAAATGATCCTTGAATCCTGGCTGATTCCTCATTTGTATTCTCAAGCAGATCAATAAAGTTCAAGCCAATCAACCCACTCCATTTTTAGTGATAATCAAGCGTTTTTCATCTTGATATCGTTTCAGGCATAAGATCATTTGAAAGTGAAAAATGGCCATTCAACGCAACTCTAAAATCCTACTACAAATAAACAGACCGTGATAGCAATCAAAGGGAGTTGGGTGGAGTTCTTTTCTAGTTAAACAGGTGTAACGTCAGTAGCAGAACAAAGCAGCACTGTGTTACATTCTGTTTTCCTGCATTACAAACCACAGGGCAGCAAGTTACATATTCTTGTCCAATCCCAAGCACTCGGTCTGATAGCTCTCTTTTGTATTATCAATGAACACCCAAACACTAAAAAGTAACATCGCTCTCTGCTGATAAAAGCAAATTGCCATTATAGGATTAAAACCAAATATAGAGAAGAACTGCTGATTATCTGAAAGCTTACAAATTTTAAGTAGATAAGCGCTCCAGCCCCCAGACTGAGACTCAATTAACCAGCAGGAAAGTCTTCATCTAAATCCCTTCAAAAGATGAGTGTTTTGTTCAAGTTGTTTCCTTGCTGGCAAAAGATAAATATCAGAAAAAGAGCAAACCTACATGTTTAGATGTTTAAACTTGTGTAAAAGAATGACAAACACTCAAGAGTTTGAAGAAAAAGGATCAGCCTGCCACCTAGTGGTGATGGGCATACACTTCAGATGAGTTATTGAAGGTGATTTTTTCAGGGCTGAGCACACACCAGGCACAGCACACCACAGGCTTGGTTTGACTGAATTTCATGAGCTCCTTGTGCAAAAAAAATCAAGATCTACGGATTGCCCAAGTCCCTGATTTCTCACTAAAGTAGCCAAGGAAGAGAGAAAGAAGCCCTTAAACATACTATGCTGTCTGAACATCAACATCAACTGAAACATTGCATAGCTAAAAAAAAATTTACTGAAATTGAATAGCGATGGACATGAGACACTGAAGCAGCGGTCAAGAGACTGTCGCATGCTTTCCAGCCACAGCTTTGACCTGACTTCCAGGGCTGCACTCCTCCAGGAAAGGGGAGTTCTGCCTTAAAACATGCACTTAACATCCCAGAACATTCATAAGGAGGAGCCTTTCCGGAAAGCCAAAAGGACATCCTGCACCATTTTATTCTGGTACAACACGCATAAACTCTGGTAACACTGAGTAAACCCCATCCCAGAGACTGGTTTCTGGGAACCCTGTTCAGGGAAGTCCAAAAACCCTGATCAGCACACTCACAGACCCACAGGTGATTAGCCATTTCTGTTACATTCTTGTTTTTGGATATACAGTAGTGGTGGTTACAATTAAGGTAAAGGACTCATTAGCAGGACATCCCTGTTAATGTCATGGCTGCTACTAAACCTCCTTATGTATCTGAGAGTCTTCCAGTCAGCAACCCTGCAACTCACAACTGGCAGCCCACTGAAGCGCAGCAGGTGTGAGCCTGGCCAGTACCTGGAAGAGAATACCTGGGAAAAACTAAGTTTGCTGCTGGTAGAGGTGTTAGTGGGGCCAGCAGGGGGCACTCACCCTGCAGTCTGTTTGGATCCTAATGCCCCAGTACAGTGATGAGAACACCATACTGTAAAAAGGTGCTGTCTTTCAGATGAGATATAAAACCGAGGTCCTGACTCTCTGTGATTATTAAAAAATCCCAAGGCATTTCTCGAGGAGTAAGGGTGTAACCCCAACGTCCCGGCCAAATTTCCCATTGGCCCTTACCAGTCATGGCCTCCTAATAATCCCCATCTATGAACTGGCTTCATAATTCTGTTCTCCACCCCACTGACAGCTGATGTGTGCTGAGCGCACTGGAGCACTATGGCTGCCATCGTATCATTCAGGTGGGGCTGCACATTGGTGGTGGTGGAGGAGATTCCCCATTACCTGTAAAGCACTCTGAGTGGAGTGTCCAGAAAAGCGCTATATAAGTGTAAGCAATTATGATCTGTTTTTTTAATAAGAAACAGAACCAAGTGCCTGATGTCATTATTGAGCTACAGTTTAACCCTTAGTCTCTGCTACTTGCAATAAAAGCTTCAGCCTAACCCAGAGTCTCTTGAAAAAGTATTCCAACCCCTCCAAGACTGTCCAATTTTATAAAATGCTAAAGATTTTTTTAAATTCATTTTTGATTCAAAACGTGAATGCTCACACCTGAAGACCTCTAAGGGTAGGTTGCAGTAAATGACAGCAAGATGTAAAGCGAAAATAAAAACACTAAATATGTCAATTGCAAGTATTTGCAAGTACAAACTCATCATTTGGTGGAAGCAGATGACAGAAATTGTTTGACAGAAATTACTTTTGAGTAAGTCTCTACTTTGCACATTGGCTTGGTGTCCGTTCTGCCCATTTACCTTGGCAGGTTCGCTCAGACTGTCTCAGGGTGGCTGGGGATTGCTTTTGGATGGATCTTGAAACCTTTCCAAAGATTCTCAATAAGATTCAAGTCAGGACTCCGACTGTCCTGCTTGAGTTCACCTGGGAATTGAAACTGCAACCTTCCACTTAAGTTCAAATCCCTAACCACTCCCCCCTTAAAATAATAATAATAATACAATTTGAACTTCTCTTTATATAATCTGGGACTCACGAGAAAAGTCAATATGAGAATTTATAATTCTAAAGTTATAAAGTTAGTTATAAAAAGTTACTCAGTAACATGCACTCTTGTCGTGAACCAGATTTTGTTTTCAGTTTTCAGAAACGGGACACAAATTAGAACAAACAGGACAGGAGGATATTAGAACACAAACACCCCTCTCCAGCCTCTAAACAAGACTCAGACAGCTCTGATAGGAGAAGCCTGCAGTCAGGATCTGATCTTGACAGCTTGGCAGTTCTGCCTCCACTGACCCCCAGCAGGACCACGGAGTGGAGCAGCACAAAGCTCAATCTTAATGACATCGAGACGGGAGAGGAACCGATCTGTCAGGGGCAGACATGTGGAGAATGTGTCTTGCCGAGGAGCGATGCAGTAAAGCTGCCATCTGTGGGATTATGACTCAACACCTCTAAAAGGTGAGGCAAGCTCTTTATCTGCAGTGACTCCAGACTGCCAGGACCGTACTGAGATCAGAACCCTCTTTGGCCAGAGTACTTGGTGACAACAAAGAACATCCTGGTTTAGAATAGGAAAAACCACACTGGAACATTCTGAAACCACACAGCGCCCTCTAGTGTTCACAAGGGACTTCAAACATGTTCCATATGATGGCCTCTACACAGGCTGAAGTATACTCAATGGAAAAAAATGTAAGTGGTTCTGTTGCCAAATAGGGTTTTTCGCAGCCTGACTGAAGTTAGCCCAAATGCTCTCCTACAAAATTCTTTCCTCTGTATTATTCAAGTCCCTGTTCCTCATAGTGACTGCCGTTAGAAGACTGTATGCAACGTGCTGTATAATATCTAAGAGGAAGCAAACCCTTTATTATGTAAGTCGGAAAGATGGATCACTGGGTGTGTGCAGACAAGCTTAATCCACAGGGAACGTCACACTGCAGAACACTGCAGAAAGGAGACGTGGGTATAAACAGAACAAAGAGGCAGGGAGATTGTACTGAGAGTGAGAGCTCAGGAATGAGCACAGGCCAGCCACATTAAACACATCTGCAAGGAAGAGAATCTCTCTGATCCCTCCAAAGCGAAGCAGAGAGAGCTGAATTACCTGTAAGTCTGTGATTACAGAAATAGGAGAGTGCGAATTCCATGACTTCTGGGACCCCATGAGCCACTCTGCCAAACACCAAGTTGTTAATTAATGCATCATTAAAAGGGAAACATGCTGTCTGCCGTAGCTAAGGGGAAGACTAGAATAATATGAATCCTGAAGTCCCTGGGACTGGACTTTCTTGAAGGGGATCTGCAGATTCAAGAATGCTAGGATTATTCTAGACAGCCAGTGAAGGTAAAAAAAGGAAGAGAAGATTTATTTGTGTAGCAAAGCCAGGCCTTCCACAGAGCGTAGTAGCAAAAAAGTAGAAATTCTAGATTGACGGACATCTTGAGATGGTATAACTCAAGATGAAAACCACAGTGGGAGAAGCAGGCATCCTTGAGGAGAACCCCTACAGACAGTAAACTGGGAAGACCTCTTGCTCCCAGTTGACAGCATTGCTGCAGAGTTTGCTCAAAGTTAGCAAGTCAATTGGTCACAAAAGATGTGCAGACACTGACACAGAGTACAGTAACCACATGGGGCCATGGAACATCCGTACACATTCTAGAACATCAGCCAAGAAGTGGGAACAGGATGGCAACTGGTGCGACTGGTCAGGCTGGTCTCACAGCCAGGATGTGTCTCTTCTTCACAGCTCATCCCTGCTGCTGATCGTGGTGGGGCAGCTCACCCCTGTGCCTTTCAGGCCACAGTAGCCCCCCGGGACCTTGTGCAGGTACTGCTGGTGATAGTCCTCCGCATAGTAGAACTCCAGAGCCTCCCGGATCTCCGTGGTGATCAGCCCAAAGCCCCTCTGAGACAACACCTGTCACGAGAAAGGAACGGGTCAGTGGCGATGACCTGACTTCCAGGACACAGGACGTGCCAACAGACCCAACACTGAGTCAGGTAGAGCACACGCCCTGAAACAGAAAATCTGCAAGGGGGACTGATTTTAGAAACACATCGCATACGAGCCACCTGCCTGCTTCAAGGAAAAGAAAATTAATAAACATTTGGAGCTGGATAAACTCCCACAGCATGCCTTCTGCACAGACAGGATCGCATTTAGCTGGCATCAGGCACTTCGGATTTTGCAGGGGGTGCTCACCCTGTGGTCCATGTGGGTCCTAATGTCCCAGTATAGTGACGGGGACACTATACTGTAATCAGGCGCCGTCCTTCATATGAGACGTTAAACCGAGGTCCTGACTCTGTGGTTATTAAAAATCCCAGGGCGTTTCTTGAAAAGAGCAGGGGTGTAACCCCAGCGTCCTGGCCAAATTTCCCATTGGCCCTTACCAATCATGGCCTCCTAATAATCCACATCTACAAATTGGCTTCATTACTCTGCTCTCCTCCCCACTGATAGCTGGTGTGTGGTGAGCGTTCTGGCGCACTACGGCGTCCGTGGCATCATCCAGGTGAGGGCTGCACATGGTTGGTGGTGGAGGGGATCCCCATTACCTGTAAAGCGCTTTGAGTGGAGTGTCCAGAAAAGTGCTATTATAGTAATTAGCAATTATTATTATTATTATTATTATTATTGTACACCCTTCAGGGAAACAGTACAGAAGTAAGGAATAGGGAAATAACAGGCTTCTGTCCAAATAAGGGAGGCTTTCTTTTCAATACTGGAGCTCAGGGGAGCTACCTTCTGAGGAACAGAGGCAGTCTGGTCCTGAATATTTACTGCAATTGGGGTTAGTGATTTTGAGAATATTCTCCTGCAGCCCTCGGTCAGTTTTCAAAGCACATCAGAAAAATAACAAAACAACTAAACTTATATCCACTTTAGGTGCTATAGAAACGAAAGCTTTTCTGCTACAAGGCATTTCTTCACTGTTATATTATCATCACATTAGCGATTCTGGGTCTGTTATAACTTCCCATCAAAAAGCTGTGTGCTACTCTGGCACAAAAAAAAAAACTTGATGCCATTTAATTGATGCACCTGGGTTTTAAGGTACAGCTAGGATATTCTTGCTTAACTTTTGCATTCTGAAATAGCATTGCAGAACAGATAATGTCACATTTGGTCTTGCAGTTTAATATCCTGACATCCTTCCTTGGATCTATGCAGACAACCCACGTAGGTTCAGTTACGACATTGATCGCAAATAACATCAGTCCTTTTTCTAAGGACAGAAGTGGAAGTACAGAAGCGTGGTGAATGAAATCTGACTGTATCCCCATTCCCTTGTGTGATATTTGTGTCTATAAAAACAAGAATAATAACATTTTACACATGCACCAAAAAAATGCTTAAGTCAGCTAGTTTCATCTTAGGTTTTCAATCTTGACAAAATCTTTCAAGCACTACATTGTGAGCCTAACATCTGGTAAAGGGAATTGAAATACACATCGTTCCACCAGTTGGCCACATGAAGGCGCCAGAGTATTTGAAGTCCTACAACACTGCAGACAACCTCAAACGCCACAACAGCATCCCTCTTGCCTCAAAGGAAAAACACTGGATGGATGGATCCCTAAGCGCTTCATATCAAGCAGAGATCCTTCATTCACCACTGAGGTGATGCTCAGCAGCCATTCATCACTGGGCACCAGCAGCCCCACTGTACAGTGGATTCAGAGAAGTGAGGAAGTATATAGCCAATTGAGGGGGAATAAAGCTCAGCTAATTTACTAAGTCATAGGTGGAATTTACCTATGAGGTCTACTATTCTCTCAAGACGGACAGGGATCTTCATTCACTGAAACTAGTCAGGAGTTGAATAGCAAAAGAATGCCGTCTCCTACAGCACAGCCTCCCAGTGGCGGCACCAGTTTTGGATTTACTGAGACAGTAAGAACGCCACCTACTGAGCAGCCAACTCCACTTTCTGCACCATAACGTAATTTTTCTTACAAGTCTCCCATCTAACAACCATCCAGGCTCAACCCTGTTAAGCTTCCGAGATGAGAACTCCCCTGACTTCCTGCTCGCGCTGAGTTTAGCGGCAGCCTTTGAGGCCAGAGAGGACACAAACTCTTGGACCATCTTTCTAAAAAGGGGGTTTTGGCTGGGGGGGGGGTCTCCATTCCAGAAAATCACCCTCTATAAGACCTGATTGAAATGAAAAATCAAAATAATTGTAATTTTGTTGCAATTTTAAAAGCAGAGCACAGAGGGACAATGCATCATTGAAAAAGCTGTTAGAGTAGACCCAGTGACTGGGAAAGTGGATTTTATACACTGGATCTTGGGTACCCCTGGCCAAGTAGTGGGGACTGTGAGCTGAGAGTCGCTGAGAGTCAAGCCTTTGGCTTGCAAAAACACCTCAACTGGCTTGGTCCCACGAATAATTAGTTTAATTCCATACTTAAAACCTAGATGGCAGAAAACCTGAAAAAATCCGGTCTTCAGTTTAGGGACATTCTTAAACAACCAGGCTATCCAGTTTTCATGACCTACTTTGTGCTTTGCCAAAAGTCTTACGTAAAGAGTACACTCTACTCTGGGCCAGACTTGATATATCAGTTCTGGTCAAACAAGGACAAATCAGAAGCATCCAAACAGTGATTCTCTGTGACAAGACATGGTCAGATACACCTTCAGAGCTGAAAAGCCACTGAGCTTACACTTTCTGATGTTTATCCTCCTGGTGGACTGTATTTCTATTCCACTTCAAATACCCTTTTTTGACAGCTTTAAAGCAATGTCTCAGAAGTTTAAAAACAATGCAGAAAAGTTTTTTTTTTCCCCTGGTTAAAAAGGAACTATTTTAAAAGTCAAAGGAAATGAGAGCTTACAGAAGTATTTTTCACAGGGGAGAGAGAACATGATTTCAAAGAATTAAAAGAGTTTAGTTGGTGTCGGGACCAATTCTGAGCATCTCTGTGAAATCTCACAGATTTGTCGGGAAGTGTATGTACTGAGAGTTTAATCTGCCCTGGATTTTTTTTACCTCCAAAAAGAAACTAGAGAAACAATTTAAACACAGAATATTCAGAACATCAGAAAAGTTACATGTGTGAGGAGGCTATTTGGGCCAGTAGAAGAAAACCAGAGCATTCAGTGAATATTGAAACACACATGAGAAGATGCAAGCAGACACGTCCACACAGACAGGCACCCAGAATGAACCTGGAATCAAACCTGGAACACCAGGTCTTTCTGGCAGGAGTGCAGCATATTGCCATGCCATCACTTCCAGGAGTTTTAGAAAACAAAACATAATGAAGCTCCTTTTCTAGTCTCATCCACAGTAAATAAACTGCATGCGCATTACAGCACAAGAAAACTGGCAAATGACAGGAAACCAATCAAGAACATACTCCATCCTTTTCTGGTAGGATATCAGGGACTCATCTTTCATATTGAGCTTGTTTCATACACCTGCAACACTTTGTGTAAAGACTTTTTGTCCATTCGGCCTTCTTACCTCTTTAGTAAATGACGGTACTCCTCCATGTTCACTATGTCCACGCATCTCAGAAGTTTTAAGTGCTTTGATCAAGCCTGGTTGTAATCTGCTCTATTCCAAAACGAGAAAGATGTGGCTCCTTGAATCTGTCACTGAAAATTCTAAGAGCAGGCATGAAGCTCATTGTTCTTTTTTGAATTATTTGAAGGATAACTATCTTGTTTGTGCTGTTTTGATCAACTTTAGTCACAGTACTCTAAATGAGCTGTCAATAATGCACTGAAGAACTTAAAAATTATGTTGATTTAATGTAAACTATTTTAATTTACTGTAGCTTTCTGTTGGTCTGTTTTCCAACCACAGAAGAAATAAGGAATAATTATTCTCTAATCCTATATAGATATAATTTCAACAAAATCATAATTCTCCTTAAATAAGAGTGGCATGCTCCCAAACCTCAGTTCCATGTGAGCTGCCTATTACTTAATTGATGTCTTGATTGATTTGAGATTAATTCAATCTCTAAAACTGCTAGATCTTTCATGTCAAACTCTTACATTTTAATTTTGGGGAACGTTAAGGATCTGAAATTGTTAACTGACTAAACTTATACTTTAAAAAAAGGAGAACCCAGAACATGTGGTTAGAGGGAGTAGCGATGCGCAGCCCTATCTTAAAGGCATGGAGGCTATAGGTGAATCTGGCGTGTGCCATCAGGCCTCGGGTTCGAGCTGCTGTCTCTTAACTGCCCCTGAAAGTGCCTGACCTGCACAGGCTGGACAGGCTTCAACCCCTGCAAAGATAAAAACCCACCTAATTTTGGAAACCTGGGAAGGGATGTTGCCATAACAGTCTCTTACTCTGCGAGACCTGTGACACCACACTAGTGACAAACACAGTCCCCTGACACCCCTGACAGAAGTTTCACAGTTCTCCTCCCAGACACCTGGCTCTCTCTTGGGTCAGGTCACCCTCTTGACTGGTTTCTCATTTGTCCATTAAATGGAGCTGACCTTCACTGTGCTGTTCTGGAGAAGCATTATGCAAGAGACATTTTCCATACAAAGTTTTTTTTATTTTTGGGATTGTTTGTTTCCTAACACTAATAAAGCAAAATGGGAGAAAACTGCTCTCATGAGAGCTTTTTCTTCGATCAGGTCTCTGGAATGATTCTTGTGGCCCCAATTTGAACTAATAATTCCTGCACGATAATTAAATTATCGAGGAACGTGCAGGATCTGCTGAGAAGTCCCAGGCAGAGCCATCATTACAAAAAAGAAAGCAGCATCTGTTCCTCGGTCGCAGGGCTAAATTATTCCAAGTTAACATCGGCTAGGCCCTTGCGGAGATTTCTAACATCCTGTGCAGTCCCAGTGACATTCGTCCAATGACTACGGAGGAAAAGTTTCAACTAGAAAAAAAAAAATGAAACCAGAACAACAGTGCTAAATGCCATGGT